ACAATCATTAATCCATCTCAAGCCTAATTCTCGTCAGTCTCCAATCTTCTGAAGCATAACGAACAAGTTCTTACATGGTGAACGAATTCTTACATAGTGAATAAATTCTTACATGGTGAACAGTACAAGGGCATTCATCACAGAAACTTTCGGTTTTGATCATGCATTATGACCTATAAACAATCAGGTCAAATATGAATATTCATTTGATTTTTATACTTGATTTATATGTTGATCCCACATTTCTCCCTTTATTATTATTATTATTTTTATTTTTAATAAAATGCTGAAGTGGTAGGTAGATGCAAGATAAAGGTAGAAAACATAGTTTAGTGTTGTAAGAGAGCAATTGTAGATGATCAGGTGTGTGCCTGTAGACTATGTGTTAATCCAACCTAGACAAGGGCAATAAAACATCCACGGATGCAGAAGATTTCTCTCAAAGCAGGGGGGGTGAGGTTCTGAGCCTCACCTCTGTTGATCCCCAATTTCTCACCTGATGGCCCCCCTGCGACTGTGCCTGTCGTAGGTTGTTCCTCCCTTGAAGAATCTTACCCGTCTCTGGCTAACCAGTCATCTTCCGGGGCCATACATTTGGGTGTAAAATTTTTAAACAATACCCTTTCTTACACATATTAACTGTGAAAATAAGCAAGTAATATTTCTCCCCTTTTTCTGAATTCATCTGACATATCACCAATAACAGGCCAATCATTTTGGTATGCATAAACAAATGGACTTTTCAAAACTTAATCTATAAGATTATCTCATTTCAAACCTCGTATTACCAGGTCTACAATTCAGAAAAAGCCTGAAGTGAGAACAAGCCTAGAAGGACTACCAGATGAACTGGCTAAGGAACTGCCCCAAAGTGGTTATCAACACAGGTATGGTGGCCAACAAGCCTCATGACAAGAGGCCTCTGTGCAAGCAGGCTGTCGTAGGGAGGGTCAGGGTATGACTCCAAGCTCAGCTACTGGAGCCTCTCTCAGTCTCCTGATGTTCTTTGTAAAATGAAGTCACACACACGCTTTTAGAAATATTCAAAGATTGAAGAGGTTGTTCAAATCACAAGAAATCTGTCATCTATTACTGCAGCATACCACCTATTACTCACTATGAAGGTACTTCTACTTGTTAACTGCAACATCCTAAGTAGAATATAGTTTTTGTCACTGGTAATGGTTGACAGCCCAGAACAATGGACGCAGATGCTTTGCCAAGCCCAGAGCACCCAGGTACCCACCAGATCTTCAGCACTGATGGGCTCCCCTTTCTTGCTGGATGCCACCACCATTTTGCTCAGTCTCTCTCTCATGTCTTCCAGAGAAGTGGTGAGAGCCAGGACAGCCATGATCTCACTGGCCACAGAGATATCAAACTGAGTCTGTTGGCAGGGTAAAGACACAACAGAGAACACTGAGACCAGAAGCATGAACTCCAGAAGTCACCCTTGTCTGCCTCCAAGGCTTATACACAAATAGCTCAAAGGAGAGAGAGTGCCAGAGTAGCACACAAAGAACTTAATGAAGATAAACCTCCAAGAGCAAAAGTTTGTAATTAATTACTCAAAGACCTTGAGTAGTCGAATTTTAGAAATGTTCTAGTAGGACCAAGACGGTTTGTAATTGTGCAGTTATTTAGCATACAAGGGAACAACACAAACTCTTATACCAAAGAAACTATTGCAAAACGGCCACAGAGAAGAAGTAATTTTAATCAATTTATGTGTGGGGATATTCACCTGGGGCTCTCCACCTCCAGGAAAAATTGTGGGGAAAAACACACAGGTGACACATGGGATTTACTGCAAAAGCTGTCAGGAGTGCTCAGTGCCACACACCTACTCACTTCCATTTTAAAGGGAGAAGGCAGAACACCACCTGGCAGCCTCAGTCGCATGGGAGAGGATGGAGGAGGATAGAGGCAGCAAAGAGCTCGTTCATAGGAATTAACTGACTTCATAAGGAACAAACAGTTACCGTCCGTGTGTACCCTTTCTCTGTGGGAGCCTGTCCAATTGTGATCTTCCTCAGGAACCTATCATTGGTATCCAACACTATAGTAGAAAGGGAAGATACAGCATAATTATCAGTAAATCGACCATAAAGTTAAAGGAACCAACAGTTTTAGAGCTTCCAGTCTGACTTAAAAGACTATTAATATTTGATTTAAAATTGATATCTAAGCTGGACTGTGGGTTCAAGTTAAGAAATTATCTTCACATACCTAAATGTACAGGACTTATTTTTAAAGAAAGCAATGTAGAGCGGCTTGGTTTTACTCTGTTTAGAAAATTCAAGTAACTAACCAGAATTCTAGAATCTATTTTAAAGCACATTCCATATTACAAGAAAAACAGAGCATGCACAGCTTTTCAAAAGGCTGAGGTTTGTGTTCTTGTTCTGTGCGATGACTCTGACCTTATGCCATCCTGAGAAACACAGGGCCATAAATGCAGTATAAGGAAAATTGCCTTTTCAAAGTGTAAGGCAATAGACCCTCTCTTGCCTTCGGCACACTTGATGACAATCGTATACCCTTGGAGAATAGCAAAGATCAAAAATAGCAGTCTTAATTCCACCTCCTAGGACTAATTATTGTTAATAATTTGGTGTATTCCCCATTTTGCTTTGTGTATAACAAGCCAGACAGTAACAAAATGAAAAAACCAGTTCATACCCTAAATGGGTCAAAGAGGAGCAGCATTTTTAAGGCACTTGATAAACATGTGAAATTATTTTCCATGAAGATGGTAATAATTTTAACACCCAAAATAGTATCTTGTACAGCACTCAAAGACACACACACCTCAACTTGATGAAGATGTAATGTGTTCTTGGAGTCCACCCTTATTTTTTTTTAATATACTGTCAAGTTCTGAGTATCTAATTTCTCTGTATAAAACAAAGGTATGATGTTTTTTCTTTGTCTGCTTCTACTTTTTAAAGAAAGTGTGATTTAGACATAAAGCAACTGAAAAGTGAACAAGATACTACATTTTCAAAATGCATCTTTAGTTTATTACTCATAAAATACTACATCATCTGTTTGAACCTACTGCGGCAAAGGAAGAGAAATGCCAGTGCTGTTTTAGATATTAGAAGAACCATTTAAAAAATGCTATTAGCTATCAACAGTTAATGAGCCAATGAAAATCACAAAGACAGCCAATAAAATAGCCGTTAGCTACATTATGCATGACTGGTAAGGATAGATGGATACACTGTTGGTACAAAATAAAACTCCATGCTATTTGTACACAGAGAAAGGCAACATATGGCTGTGAAGCCCAGCAACTCACTCACTAAACTGCCAGGTGTTTAAACCTTGAAGGCTACCTACTTTGTTACAAGAGTTTAATAAAATGAAGTAGAATGAGTAGGCAAGAAAAATCATATCACTTATGCCAGAGAAGAGTTCTGAGAATAAAGGGCAACGTGATTCAAGAAGTGATTAAACATAATTTCTCTACTTCACGAACCAAATCTTTCTGCATAAAATGAAATTTGCAAAATGTTATTTTTGATTTATGCATGAACTTACTTGAAACCACCTGCACTCTCATCAACACTAAAAAGCCAGCAAAATGTCCAACTAATCCAACAAAAGAGGTTTGATTACAGCTAATAAGGAGAGACTGAAAGAGGTGGTCAGAAAAACAAGCCAGTCACCATCTCGGTCATGCCTTAATCATGAAAACACCGACATCCAAGCTCCTGGACCTTACATTTTAACGGCTTTTACTGAGGGCATCAGGCATGCAGTTTAACCAAGGGAAATGAAGCATGCAGACTGCTCTGGTACCTCTTTGCCAAGTTATGGTTTCTGGATCAATATCCAATCTTGCAAATCTGTTTATCTCTTCATCTGTCAGAGTGGTAGGGTCAGTCTTTTCAATGCCTAGTCTCTAAAAAGGTAGGAAGATTAGAACATAAAATAGGACAAAGCAAACAAAAGCATAGTAAATTTTAAAAAATATATAAACCATTTAAAATCAGAAAGAAAAGCTATGATCCCTTTGGCTAAACCTTTATTTCCTACTCACATGTAAAATAACTGAGCAGCAGAGGCTAGCTTTACTTTACCTAAAACAAACCCTAAATAAGCATGGTGACCAAGGAGTGCTGTGCCATTTCACCAAACCCAAACATACTGAAAGGAAAAGCACAGTACAAAGCTTTTCCATCAAGAAGTTTGGTTCAAAGGAAGTATCAGGAAGGGCAAAGATAAATATTAATAAAAATCAGTGTAAATCACTTTTACGTGCTTTTTATATAGCTCTATATTTTCATTCCTTCCTATTGTCCCAAAGGCACAAAAAGGGTGTATCTATTCCTGCCCGAAGAACTTGGAAATTTAATTTTTTACCATGTGCACACAGGTCACCCCTGAAATGGAAAATGCCTATAAATTGTATTTTCCAGTTTTCCTAATTCATGATAGATTTGAGTGAGCTCCACTAAGCTCTGCTCTTCTGACAGTTCCTTTCCTTTTCTATGAGAGCTTTGTTTTAAAACCTCAGGTGTTTTCAGAGCTAGTGCTCTTTGGCTTGTCAAAATAGGTAAACAATGTCATGCACTTGGCATGTGAGGCTAAGTCAGCAAAACTCTCTGTCACTTGGCTGAGAATCTGTTGACAACCCACTCCTGCCTGAGCACCTGGCAGGCAGACTATGATAACACTCAAGCAGAGGATGATTGGGACCCAGGAAACAAGAGGGCAAGGTTCTCATTCCAGTCTAGCAAGGGGTACTCTGACCAAGTGCAAGTCCTTTGATTTCAAATCCTAGAGCTTTTTACAGGATCATTTAAACATTTGGTCTAGCACTGTCCCACATCTGACAGAAAGTTCATCAGCAAGGTAAGATCAGAAGTTGTCTGCTCTTCCCATGGTACTCTGTTGCCTCACAGAACACAACTCTTTAACGAAATAGGGTAGCAGTTAACTTACCTTGTGCATAGGATTTCTGAGGGGTGTGAGTGTTTTTACACTGTGTAAAAGTGACTTTTTCTCAAGTCCAGAAAAAAAGGCACACATATAGTAACTGAATTGTAAAGTAAGTAAGGCAAAATATAACAATTAATGCAACTGGGTAAAAGGAACCTTAATGTACTGTTTTTGCAGTATCAAAATATGAAGTTACAAGAAATTAAAAATAAAGTGAGTATAACTTGCTGGCAATAAGCAGCACACAGCATTTACTGATGCTATCTAAATAATATATATATAAAATCTTTCATATGTAAAAGTAACATGAAAACATTTTTGAATTTCATTTTTAAAACTCTCTTATGCTAGCCCTTTATAGTCACATCCTCCCTACTGATCTGTTCTCCATCACTATAGCTTTGTCTTTTTGAGAATGTATTATAAATGGAAGCATATAGTATATAACTTTTGAGGCATCTTTCACTCAACATAATGCCTTTGGTATTCATCCAAGTTATGGTGCATGTCAAGAGTTCATTCTTTTTTACTGTATTGTGTACAAGTCCGTTTATCCTTCATTCACTGAAGGACATTTGGGTTGTTTCCAGATTTTTGAGATTATTAATAGAGCTGCTAAAAACATTCAGGTTTTTCTATGAACACAAGTTTGCACTTCTCTTGGATAAATACCTAGGAGTGGGATTTCTGGGTCATATGGTACCATGTATGCTTAATGACTATGTATTTGTTATAGAAATTAAAATACAATACAGAAGTAACCACTCTTGCTTAAGGTCCCAGTGCTAAGAGTAGGTATTCAAACTCCAAAACTGTTATGCTGCCATGCTGGCACCCTGACTCCTATTTATGCTACACAGGAAGTGTCAGTCTTCTCAGCTAAGGCCAGGTTGTCAGTGTTCCACTTATTCCAGGACTAACCACTCATTATTTATAAATAAAGGAGAAATAACCTCTACTACCAATTTTTGATGTGTATATGACCTTAAGACTATGGGGTATGAATGTAACTTGATCCCAAATAGGCTACTCTAAGGAGATTTCTTCTACCTCCTTAATAATCACCCAATTTCATACAGTATCAAAAAAGAGGAAGGGAAAATCTTACCCGTAACCTTCGGAGTTGGATATCAGAGAACTTTCTCACTCCATTTATTGATGGTACCAAACGATTAAAGAGTGCCTTAAAGAAAAGGAGGGAAAGAGTTAACTGAGAGGAACCCCACTGCCTTGCTACCTACCTCATCAGCACCCAAGGGACCAACATTAATTCAGGTGTTGCAGTAGTCACGGGTCCTAGGCAGCTTACCTTGTCTGTCTGGGTCAGTTCATGGAACATCCGGGCATCAATGGCTGCAGCAACAAGGTTATTAGCAGCAGTGATGGCATGGATGTCACCAGTGAGGTGGAGATTAAACTGCAAAAGAGCAGAAGCCACATCAGTCTTGCAAATTCTCTGTGTCTTTCCAACATTCATTCTATTGCAACCAAATCAATCCCTACATTAAAGGCAATGGAGAGCTGATGAAGCACAGCTAGTTCATGCTGGTGCTTCCCAATCTAATGCTTCCTTTTATGATTTGCTCAGAGTTATTATTCTCCTGAAAGCCAGACTTTGAAGTCCTTGTCATGTCAAAAACTAAGCCATCTCCCAAGTCTGCAAATTAGAATGTATTCCCTGTAAATGTTGCCTCTGCTGAGAAACAAGTCATTTGTCCACTAAGAGGTCTACAAAAAAGGATAGTCTCTTGAAGGTAAAGCTATAAAAAAGGGTCCGATTCAAACGAAATCCCAACACCTTACCTCTTCCATAGGAATGACCTGTGAGTAGCCACCTCCTGCAGCGCCACCTACAGGTGAAGGGTGAGGAGTCATGTTAAGTATACTTCACTTGAAAATCAAATAAAAGCAAATCGGTTTTGGTAACCACTATGCATATTAGGTATCTGCTGACTTACTACGACCATTTGGACAGATTTGATCAAGCGTTCTCTAGTTTTCTTTTACCAAGCTACAACACTTGATCTTGTTCATGCTGAATAGTCTCTCAACTGAAATTTGAGTGTAACTGTTAAAACCAAGAACACATACATACATAGCTACTCATTATCTTTAGAAAAAGGTTCCCTGGCCTGCAGCTACATAAAGGCAAACCCATTCAATTTTCTCCTCTCCTCAGTGCTACTCTGGTATTTTAGGAGAGGAATATTTAAAATACAGACATGCAACACAGAGACAGCAATGCTTCCTAAATGGGAGACATGTTAGAAAACAGCTTAACTGCTAGGTTTTTTGCTGGCCCATTCAGCCTATTAACAAAACACCAGTCAATAATGTCCAGGTTATCAGTGAGATCAATTTCAATATGAGGAATGGATTTTGTGGGGGTTTTCTGTGATGCAGAAACCACGCAATGAAAATGGGGCAATGTGACAAGAGGAAAATACAGGGTTCACGAAGCAGAACAAGGGGAAAGGCTCGTTCTGAAGTTGAAAGGGGATTGTTAAGACAAGCTCAAAAGCAGAACTAAGTCATCACATTTATAAAATAGATCAAAGCAAGAGGCAGAAAAAGGGCAAAGTTGTTTCCTGTTCCAACATCTGTAGTAACTGCTAGAACGAGCAAATATGTGATACCCTATCACCAAGCAAATGAGAAAGCTAATGCTAAGAACTTAATATAATTAATAAAGCAATTTTAACTATAAGAGCATATTTGCAGTACCACAGCTATCAAATACTAAAGGTGAAGTATGATTACTGACATCATCAGAAGAAACACTGGTATTGTTTTAGAGCTTGAAGTAAACATGGGGCCCACTCTGGCACTTAAAAAGAGGGCCTTTGACCAAGTTACCTCTGAAGTCCCGTTGCTGCTATTGTCCAACAGTGATAATGCTAACAATCTCAAATTAGGAGATAAAATAATATACATAAATTGCTTAGCACAAAACCTGGTACAAAGTATAGGCTCAATAGGAGTTTTTTTTTAAGTATTATTGATATACAATCTTATGATGGTTCCACATAAACAACCCAGTGGTTTCAACATTTACCCATATTATCACATCTTCACCTCCTCCAAGTGGTTACTATCAATGTAGTAAGATGTTATAGAGTCATTACTTGTCTTCTTCATGCTGTACTGCCTTCTCTGTGACCTACCTATATTGTGACTGCAAATCACAGTGCCCCTTAATCCCTTTTTCCCTCCCCACCCACCCACCAAAGACTAGTAACCACTAGTCTTTGGTGACCCCTTTGGTAAACCACTCAGTGCCTGTGGGTCTACCGCTATTTTGTTCCTTCAGTTTGGCTTTGTTTTTATACTCCACAAATGAGTGAAATCACTTGGTATTTGTCTTTCTCTGCCTGGTTTATTTCACTGAGCATAACACCCTCTAGGTCTATCCATGTTGTTGCAAATGACAGGATTTCTTTTTATGGTGGAATAATATTCTACTGTGTATATATACCACCTCTTCTTTATCCACTCATCTATTGATTGACACTTAGGTTGCTTCCATAACTTGGCTATTGTAAATAATGCAGTGATAAACATATGTTGTCTTTTTGAATCTGAGAACTTGTTTTCTTTGGGTAAATTCCCAGGAGTGGAATTCCTGGGTCAAATGGCATTTCTATTTTTAGTTTTTTGAGGACCCTCCATATTGCTTTCCACAATGGTTGAACCAATTTACATTCCCACCAACAGTGCAGGAGGGTTCAAGGGTAGGGTTTTCTTACTTCCAACAGGATAAAATATCTGTGGGGTTTCTCTGTCTCTAGAAAGTCAGCATGATGATCAGAAGCTATGATTACTTTTACTGTTACTGTGACAGTTGACTCTCAGTCACATAAAAGCACGCCTGGCTACATATTACCCATCCAGGGAATCCCTGTGCAGTGTCAAATGGTAACAGCAAGAGTGGGGATGATCTGATGAAAGCCTTTACCAAAAGCACCACAAGAGGGGATGTCAGGAGGACATGCCTGGTATCTAAATGAGTTGAAGGCCCCATATGAATTCATGAGTCAAGTGGGCCAGGGAGGACTGAAGGAGATGCAGCTGCCCTCTGGCCACCCAAGGTCCAGTCCTACTAATACCTTTTATTCCAAAGGTAGGGCCCTGAGAAGGCTGTCGCACACACGCAAAGACGTTCTGATGCAGGTGGGCACCCAGGGCTTGCACTAGCCCGATTGTGGTTGTGCTTTTCCCTTCTCCCAGGGGCGTTGGAGTTATTCTTTAAGATGAAAGCATTAGAGGAAAATCAAATTTATGTGAATTAAATTTATGTGAAATCACAAAATCAGACCTAACAGATCCTAAAGAATGACTCTTAATCTGAATCGTAAGAACAATGAAAGATCTGGAAAGGATCTTTTCCAAGAGTCTTAACTATAGTTTTCTCCCATATTTTAAATTGTAAAAGACTGCTGTGCTTTAGCTCTTCTCACTGTAAGGTGCAAATATACTTTCCCTTGTAAAGAAACACTGCTATAATTAAAATTTTTCAGTTTAATCCTCGAACTAGCTTTTATATATCACTTAGCCAAGCAATAAAAATAATGCCCAACAGATCTAATGAATTATCGAATTTGGGGTTAAAAAAAGACAACTCCACCTGAAGACCAACTTTTAAGACTCAACTCTTCCACCAACTAGATGGATAAGTTTCTTATCTCTGAAGGGTTATAATCTACCCTTCCATACCTCACAGGGTTGCTACAAGGATCAAATGAAACAAAATCCATGTGAAAATGCTAAAACAAAATTAAAGGAACCTTCACATATATATGTGTGTGTGTGTGTGTGTGTGTATATATATATATATATATTTACATATATATGTGCTAAGTGCAAACATAATCCCTGGTAATAATGATCAGGGTTCATGTTAAAATTCAATTAGCAAGTGAGTAAAAACCGTACCCAGTTACCACCACATATTTTCCATCAGGCTGGTGATTCAGGCGCTCCAGTGTCGACAGCAGGACTTTGGCTTTTGTTTCCCCATACAGTTCTACCTCTTCAGAGAGTAGACCAATTTCTCGAGCCAGGCTACCAATGGGCTTTGGCTTGCAAGACCGTGATATATCAATGTCACTTAAAAGACATACAGAGAATATGCATCAATCTCTATTGATTGAACTGAATTAAACTCACCGTAGTAATGACCCAGGCCCAACCACTGATGGTGCTTTCAGAGGGGGTATTCACTTAGCCATGGTATCCACCACCTATAAACCAACACTCTGTAAAGCTTTAACTAGTAAAATTTTATTTTTACCTTGGGACAGGTGCCTTGAGATTAAGCTCATTATAGTCAATCATCCACTTTCCTGGCTTACATTTCTCCAGGAAACGCTTTGCACTCTCCACTGTGCTCTAAACAAAATGTCATAAATGGAACTCAGAAGAAGTTATTTTTTTAACCTCTATCTCAATTCCAAATCCCAGTCACTCTAGTTCAACCACAAAATGAACAGATTTATGATCCATCTATTAACATGCTTCAATTCTAGGCAAGAATCTAGAGGCCACTAAAATGCCCAGGGCTGCTTGCCTCACCCTATGTCAGCTGGTGTGTGTGAAGAACAGCAAGAAGCCAAAACACACCCACACGCATCATGTGTTTGCACTTCTCTTTTTCTGAAGTTCTGATATTCCAAGTATGTTAGAATTGTGCCATTTCTACTTTCCTCTATCCCTTTTTTTCCTTAACAGAGTCACATCCTTCTTAGCTTCTGAGAAGGTTTTATAACATTTGCTCTTGGGGAGAAAAGCAGTAACTTGAATTCTATCATCTTTGTAGCACTATTACACAAACTTTTTTTTTTAGGTGTAATTGGCATGGAACGTATTTAGTTTCAAATGTACAACACGATTTGATACTTGTTCATACTGCAAAGCGGGCACCACAGTAGGTCTGGCTGACAGCCAGCACAGCAGCTGCCCCTCACACGCACCTGCATCAGCATCACCACCGTCATGGGCCCGACACCGCCGGGAACTGGAGTGATGAAGCCCGCCCTCTCTTTGGCCTCGTCGTATGCCACATCACCCACGACTTTCTTCCCATTTAGTTTTGTATTGTCTGCTCAAGGGGGAAAAGAAATCAAAGCAAAGTCTCAGAACTGCAATCCTGGTTAAGTGGTCAATTATGATAACTTCTTCCAAAAACTACATAGTATTTAGGATGTGTGATCCCACCTGGCTTAAGTGCCTACATTCCTTAAAAGCTAGGGGATGACAGGTGTTTGCTATTTCCTAGGGAGAAACTTATTTTACCTGCAAGAATTTGCAAGATGCTTAAGAGGTTTTTCAGAACCATGAGAATCTTTTTGTGGTTTGTCAGGTGGCAACTAAAATACCAACTGTTTTTTATTCTGAAAGCCAAATACCCAATATATAACAAGCACCTTTTAAAATGTTAATTTGCCAAGGCCTACAAAAGAGTGCTTTTGGGTGCACAAAGCTCCATGTCACAGCTGCCAGATACTGTTTCTACAGCAACTGCCAGCATTCTGTAAGCTCCATGCATGAGCAGGAGGAACAATTCAACATCCAATTCCAAAGAACAGCTACTTAAATGTATGCAAAAGGCAAAGAATATAATTACACTTCCCTTAATAGGATACAAGAACACTACAAATCCTACCCACAAAGAATAGCTATTCAAGAGAACAAACCCAATGATGCTCACTCACACAAAGCACATCCCACACTGGCTGCAGAGCACTTCCGGGTGGTGGGGGGCAGGGAAGACCTGGCAGCTCCAAGGTTTCCCGGGCAAGATCTGGTAGAACCTTAGCCATTTCACCACTTCTCCTTGAACAGATCACCATAACTGAGGGAGGAGGCTTTAGGGTGTGGCCAAATGCCAGAACTGAGAGACCTAGGCTCTAGGATGGATCAGTCCTTCTACTAACTGCCTAGTCTTCAGCGCCCATGGGCTCCATACTAATCAGAAGTTTCAAGATGCAAAGGACTGACACTACTTATTTCACAAGCTTCCTGAGAATCGAGTAAGAAATCATGCATTCTTGAAACTGAAAAAGCATTCTCCAAACGTAAGGGTTTCCTTCCCATTCTAGATACATAAGCAATTGTCTAGGTGTACTATAAGGAGCTGGTGAACATAACTCTTTGGGATGGTTTCAGGTTTTTGATTGTAAAGCAGCAAGCTACGGCAGAACATTTCCTCACACCCCTAATGTGTTTTCAAAATGCCAAGGAAATATGGTTAAGGGTTTGCCTTTTGTACAGATTTAAACAGTCTAACAATAAAGTTAAATTAAAATACCCCTGGCACCTATATTACCGCTGGTCATTTTGTTCTCCATATATAGGAGGCCTACTGATTACTGTACAACCAAATGTGGCACTGGACGCGCTCAGCTGTGCTCCGTAAAACCGAAACTGTCAGGGCTCCTGGAGCGCCCTCTGATGTATGTGCAGTGATTCATGGAAGGTATGATGTGGTTGGTCAGTGGAAAAAGTGAACGCTACTCAATCTAAGTGTATGGCTTCAGTAACCAACAAATCTTTTCCTTTGGTTAGCTACCCCAGCCCTATAATTTCTCTTCCATTGGGAATTACATGTACAAAATTCAAATTAAGATGCAGCTGAGCTTTGCCTCCTTCACATTTAATTTGGGGTCCCTAATGACAACCAGTAAAGAAGCCACTATGTTGGATAGGTTGGGATAGGATGGGGAATCTGTTTCCTCTTTTAATAACCCTTCCAAATAAAACACTATTAATCTGGCCCATCTTGAATTATCTTTCAGTAAGGCAAGCAGGAAGAACACTTTTAGTTTTCCCTGGCCAAGACAATACTTTGCACTTGACTCTTAAAAAATATTGCTTTTTTTGGGGAAAAAATAAAGTACATACTCTAATTCATTCTTTTTTTTTTTTTCATCATACATTCAGGCAAAACTTTCTCATTTTGTTCTGTTCATGTGTACAGCTTCTTTTACTTACTGATAAAAAGCACATAACACATACTGACCACTGGATCCCACAACTTGCAACGGTTTATCAAGATTAACTGACTCACATTAATAAAATAAGGAGCCAAGGGGAAAAAATCAAATTATGTAGTGTCAAGTCCAATCTTCTACTCCTCTAATTCATTCTTAATTTGCAAATGACCTATAATGTTACCCCTGAATGGACCATGCAAATGACTGAGATATTCTAAACATGAATCAAGAAGTGGCTCTGTTGTGGAACATGATGAATCAGAAATGAACCTTTGCAGAGAACCACTTTTAGGTCCTCCAGCCCACCACTGGTCTATAACTCAGTGACTCTGCCATCCTTGGGGAAACATAAAATCCAGCCTTACTGCTACTTATTCACCTATGTGCTCAGGATCAGGGAAAATACAGTTGACCAGGATGGATGATAGTGCTTTGACTGTTTTAATATTTTAATCACTCATGTGAGGAATAAATGTGGAACAAGACAAAGTTTCACATTTAAGTCAACATTTCATACCTATCTGCTAGACTCAAGATCCCAACCCAGGGTTTTCTTCTTCTGTCTCTCAAATCTAGTCAAAAACAAAGAATGCCAAAAGTAGAAATATGATAAAGATGCAAGGTTTTAAACAGAATGAGCTTGAATGTCATATTGCAAGTACTCAGAGTGAGGAGTTGTAGGAGAGCAATTTCTGTCTCACCCATTAGATAATTACACTACAAGAAAATGAGTGATCAATTATGAGCTACTGTCTTAAAAGCATGGTAGGGAGAGTGGGAGGGAGGTTAAAAATGGTGAAGGCTTGACAGTGACTAATGTTCCTGGCAGCTTAGTGTCTTTTTCTCAAATTTAAGATGGGGAGGGAGAGAAAAGAATATTCTTGCTATAACTCCCTTCAACAATTCAACAGTTGTGAGTGCCAGCAGGAAGAAGGCACAAAGCTGGACGTGCACCTGCAGAGACTACTGCCCCAACTGTCTAACAGAGAACCCAGGACACCAAGCATGAGACACACGGGATAAAAGAAACACCAACTTACATGGGAGGGGAAGGAGGATTTCAGAGGAGAGATCATCCCTTGTTAAAGGGAAACCAGGCAAGGTTTGGAAGGAAGAAAGGACATTTCAGGCAAAGAGGAGGGAGGAAGTGGCTGCAAGTGAAGATCACAGTTGAGCTTTATTCAGTTGTGTGGCCCCAGGCCTAGGGTGGTGCTTGATGCACAGACACAGTAGCTCAATTTGATTGTTCCTTTCTTGAATCTATGAGGTGTGTATACAAGTATTCACTGTATTGTACTTCCAAAGTTTACATATGAAACTTCCTCAAGAAAGAATGACCTGCTCTGCTCAAGAAGCAGGCATAGAAGCTGCAAAGGACAAACAAAGCATGTGCAGGGAAGGACATGTGGTCCACTACACAGCAGTTTAAGACAGGTATTTGCAAAACGTATGTGAGGAAAAAGGCCATAGAGGTGGCTGAAACTAGTTTGGAGCTAAGGAGTCTGGCAAGTAATGTGGGAGGAAGAGGCTCATGGGTCCACGTCCAGACCCATGAATACGGCAAGAGCCCACAGACGGGTCAGAGTGGAAGTCAGCTGGAGGCAGGGGAACCAGTAAGAAATTTATGGCAGTGCATCCAGCTCAGAGGGTAATTAATGCTCAACGACAACCCTGAGAACAGAGCAGAGAGGGAAAAATTCCTAACATTTAAAAGTGGATCCATGCGGGAGCCAAGATGGCAGCGTGAATAGGACAGTGGGAATCTCCTCCCAAAAACATATATATTTTTGAAAATACAACAAATACAACTAATCCTAAAAGAGAGACCAGAAGACACAAGACAACAGCCAGACTACATCCATACCAGCGAGAACCCAGCGCCTGGTGAAAGGGGTAAAATACAAGCCCCAGCCCGGCGGGACTGAGCACCCCTCACCCCAGCTCCCGGCGGGAGGAGAGGAGTCAGAGCGGGGAGGGAGAGGGAGCCCAGGACTGCTAAACACTCAGCCCCAGCCATCCGCACCAGAGCAGACACAGTGCATGCGTGGAGTGCTGGAAACTAGGAAAACAGGACAGTAAGACCTGTGAGTGTGTCCCGAAGCTGGTGTCCCTGTGACAAAGAAAAGCGAGTGCTTTTTGAAAGTCTTAAAGGAACAGGGATGCCACAGCTGGAAGGAAGCTTCCCGGGTCACAGTCCAGCAGCTGGAAATTCCAGGGAACCCTGGGCGCACTAACCCCCTGGGCAACAGCTCTGAGACCCCTCATGAAGGTAAACAGCCAAACAGCCCCCCGTCCATTACCCCTCCTGGCCCCGCCAGAGCAGAGCAGCAGCCTGAGGCTGGCCACGCCCAAAGCAAGGGAGCTTCCTCCATACTGGCCAGGCAAGATACAGAGACCCAGTCTACACGCAATTGCCCAACACAAGCCACTAGTGGTCGCAGTTGTCCCAGCAAAAAAAGGCCAGGAGCTAGTGGAAAGCCTTGGCCCTCCCAACTGACAGAAAGTAAATAGCTCACCATTGCACCTATCAACATGAAAAGGCAAAAAAATTTGATCCAGACAAGACTAACCCAGACAGCTTCGACATCTGCTACATCTTCCCCTGAGAAGGAACCTGGGAGATAGATTTAACCAGTCTTCCTGAAAAAGAATTCAAAACAAAGTCATAACCATGCTGATGGACTCACAGAGAAATATGCAAGAAATAAGGAGGGAGAATACAGAAATAAAACAAGCTCTGGAAGGACTTCAAAACAGAATGGACAAGATGCAAGAGACCATTAATGAACTAGAAAACAGACAACAGGAACGCAGAGAAGCTGATGCAGAGAGAAATAAAAGGATCTCCAGGAATGAAAGAATTCTAAGAGAACTGAGTGACCAATCAAAACAGAACAATATCCACATTATAGGGGTACCAGAAGAAGAGAGAAAAAAGGACAGAAAGTGTCTTTGAAGAAATAATTGCTGAAGACTTCCCCAAACTAGGGGAGGAAATGGCCTCTCAGACCATAGAGGTACACAGAACTCCCATGACAGGGGATCCAAGGAAGACAACACCAAGACACATAATACTTAAAATGGCAAAGATCAAAGACAAGGACAA